GTAAGGCGGCGCGACGGTAGGAGTTTTGCCGCACGCCGAGCCACGCAGCGGGCGACTGAGTTCCATGGACGCAGATACGGAGTGGCATCCATGCAGTCATCGACCTTGTGGAAGTTTCCTGTACGAAAACTCCTGTTGCAGGTCTACGCTTCCCTCGTTCGGCATAATGGATCGCTGAGGTCGAGCATTTCCTATGAAAGCTTCCTGTATCTACATGCACAGTCACCACTTCACACATGGGCTCGTTTCGGTTGGAAATGGCTTCTCGGGATTTTTTATGTATATATATATATATAGATAGATAGAGCCGGTTCATGTTTTTTGTACGGAGTTTTGTGGCACGTACTTACACCTCTTTGCCTCTATATATATATATATATACACATGTATATACGTGTGTCGTGTGTCTAAAAAGAGAGAAAGACAGAGAGTGAGTGAGACATAGATATATATATATATACACACCAAGCACATATAAGTAAAGAGACAACTATTTCCATGTGTATCTATATAGCATACCTGTGTACGTATGTGTACATGTACGTATTTGTAGAGGCATTTATTCAGTGACAGGCTTCCAGTGATTTACACAACCACTTGTCTGACGAGGTATATATATATATATGTATGTATATAGGCATATGTATACGCCTGATGAGCACTGTGCACATTCCAAGGATCCTGCATGGAGTCTTTCGCCCAATGTACCGTTTGCACTTGCTAAGATACGAATGCATGATTTCATTCTATACGATTTAAAGACTGATATATCTATAAGCATGTATATTAGACTTTGTAGCATATGTAAACAAACCTGTGGCAGCACGATGGTCCTCATGATGGTTCTTGCATTCGTACATAGCTTTCCAGCTGACAAGCAGACCCGACGTCTCCAGACAACAGTGCGTTTGCTGATGCAAACGAAGAGGACATCTTCGAACCATGATAAACTGTTGTTATTCCAAGAAACACGATAACAATAAAATATAAGTAACACTTCTATATAGAGTATAAATCTACATTTATCAAGTGTATACTATAGTACAGCACACACATAATCTAAGAACCTAGAAGCCGGCGCGCATATGTGTCTGTAGATGTCTTCGTGAGGTTGTCTTGTTGCTCGAACGTATGCGAGAAGGAGTCATGTGTGTGTAACTGTTTCTTGACGTGTATATGTTCCCATTGTTGGATGTGAATAAGCTATATACAGCAGCCGAAAAAATATTTTTCCGAGACTTCTAGAGTTGCAATGTGCCCGCGTGGAGAGTGCGGCGTGCCTTTGGGATGTTGTGAGTTCCATGTGCACATTCTACACTTCCCTTCTGCGTGTTTCCATGGTTGCTTTGCCGCGAGGTGCATTGGGGCTTATCCCGCAGCCACCGTCGAATCGCGGCATGCAGAGGCGGGTGGAAGGGTGCCTGCAAGAAATCGCTGTGTCAGACATGCGACAGTGAAGTTCCAGCTTTGTCAGAAGCCTCGACAGTCGTAGTGTGTGCAGCAATATATATTTCTCAGTATAGATGGAAATTGGCCACAGCTTCTGTTGTGTATCTGGACAATGTTTGCACGCAGGGGCCTCGGGCCCGATGATATAGAGTTACTGTTCTGAGTCCGTCGACATGACACGTGGGTTTATAGGGTTATATATAAAGAGTAACACGAAAGTGCGGTGTGCACAGCATATATTTGCAGACTCTGTTATGTGCGACTTTTCCGACTATATATGTGCAGGCAAACCTAAAGCTTAATGCAGCAGGCAACCCCCTGGGCCGCTGCATTGGTTTGGCAGGGTGTATATATATATATACACTCGCCAACCACAGACGTGCGCTTGTATTTTCAGGCCCGAGTCTGGATAGACTGCTGGAAGCTTGCAAGGGGCAAAGGCGTTGACAGCAGCCATGGCGAGCACACATGATGAGCTGATGAAGACCACAGGATCCCTGTGCAAGTGGCTCACGGAGCAGAAGAATACTCTGGATGACAAGGTATTCCAGGAGGTTCTTGAGACCCAGCACAAGACAGTGTGCGATCAGATTCGTGCCATCGGATCCATCACCCCGGAGCAGGCCACCGGCTTCAGCAATGCCTTCAACACAGGCCCCTGGTCAAGTGCCCAGAAGGAAAGCATTACGAAGCTGATCTCAAACCTCATGGCCTCGCCATCAACCAGGCGCACGAGACGTCAAAATCAAGACGTCGAAACATTCGCCCACTACTTCTCACGCAAGGACCACGAGGTGTTGGCCGACGAATCCAAGTCAGAGCACCAAAAAATTGATGTCGTCGCCAACCGGCTAGTGAGGACTCACCTATGGCTCCCTTCGGAACAGGCAGTGAGGGCGGTGATGCAGGCCGCGGTGGCCAGTGGCTTTACCCACACGGAGGAGCACCGCATAGGCATCGTGCGGGGAATAAAGGCCGCGGTGAGACAGAGGACAAAGAGCATGCCCCGAACACTGCAGCTGCCGACGCCCATGCCGGCCAACCCCAGAGACCTGCCGGGGGACATCTTCGCGCAGGCGTACCCGGAGGGCGACCCTCCTGTCTCCCTCGAAGAAGGGAAATGCCTGGCAGTGCAGATGTTCGTGCGCAACTCGCACAACAGCAGCTCGGGAGCGGGGAGCTCGCAGGCACTGGTGCCCGCCTCGACGGGGAGACGGAGCAACATGAGCAATGAAGACATCGCCCAGATCGTCCGGGCCGTTACTCTCGTGCAGCAGCGCAAGGAGAGAGGCAGGAGCAGGCAGTTTGAAGACGACGAGCCTGAGTTGCCCGGGTTTAAGCTCCTCGGTCCTAAGAAACCCAAAGGAGCCCCATCGGCACCTTCGGCCCCCGCCGCAGCCGAGCCAACGGAGCTAGAGGAGGATACTCAGGATTCAGCGGCCAGTCTCATGCACAATCCGACCTCCAAACCCGACCCGGCCCCCGCAAAGGCTCCCAAGTTGTTCGTCCCTCCCCCCATCGACAACAAGTGTGCCATCGAGGACAAGAAAGAGGCGCCGGATGATGACCCAGAGAAGATCGCAGAGGTCTACGAGCAGGCGGCCGTGCACCGGAAGCCGTCCACGAACACCAAGGCTACGGCGAAGGGTAAGCCCAAGGCTAAGGCCGCCACGGCCAAGGCCAAGGCCACCACGACCAAGCCCAAGGCCAAGGCCAAGGCCAAGGTCACCACGGCCAAGCCCAAGGCCACAGCCAAGGCGAAAGCCAAAGCCGTGGGCAGGCAGCCCGATTGGGAGGATGCGAAAGGCGGATGGCGAGTCGAAACTCGCTTTCGGCCAGACGGTCAAACCGACCGTTACTATTACAGTCCGGATGGCCGCCGCTTCAGGATCAGAGCTGAAGCCATCGAACATGGGTACTCCATGTGAGCAGCTGCATGCATGAGAGGCAGCCGAACAGCTCGTATATAAGCTAGTTGTAGAGTTGTACATAAGTTGTTTGTTCGTTTCTGTGCTGATAATATACATGTAAAAATCCATGAAACAAGCTATCACTATATATATATATACACATACACATAAATCCTGTTTTGAAACAGTTCCGAGCGTTTTGCGGCACGTGCCTCTCCTCTACATGTATGTCGCTGAGATCCTCATAGTTTCTTTCAGCCCGGCTTGGTCGTTTGAGAGACTCACGCCCAGTGTAGAAGATCACGAAATTTCGCAACTGCAAAAGTTCCATGCTGCATTTGTCGTCTGCAAGACTTGAGTGGAGGCTCTCTTTCATGAAGCCTTTGCACTGCATGTTGCAGGAAATGGAAGTTGATGCTTGCGCCCGGCACCGGCCTTGGCATGAAGGCTTATGTGTCTACACATGGGTTATATATATATATATATATATACATATACATATTTTCTAGTCGCTGCATCAATGTATGATGTAACTTGTTTATGCGCAGCATGATGCATATGAATTATTTATGTAACTTTATATATATATATACATATATCGTTACACAGGCAGGCTCCGACAAGGAATCGCCTGTGTTTTGTTGCAGGGCTTGTATAGCTCGCAGCATGGCCGCCGAATCGGTGTCGAAGCAATGTGTTTTTTAATCTATAGTATGTACTTATATATATATATATGTATACTTTTATTGTTTGTGAGTGATAAAAGTTGCAGGAGCTGGAACTTGATGCCCGTGCACCCGGAGACCGGCTTGGCATGAAGGCTCGGCTTCTATGTGCATGGAATATTATGTGCATTGCAGGCGCTGCATATCTATGGAAATGGTGCAAGAATTGCCGTGGTGGTCGGAGCCATCTATGTACCCATATAAAGATGTATACATAATATGTCTGTTCGTATTATCCTTCGTATATAGGTTTCTCTTTATGTACTTATATGTTTATCGCCTTGTCCGTCAATGGTGCAGTGACCGTGCCAAGGTTTATTGTGGATGGTTGCATGTGCGCACCACCTTGGTTAAAAGTGGTTGTGAATTAAAGCGTGAAGGAATGAAGTGCTGGGTATAGGTTTTTATGTCTATATTATGTATCATGTATATGCATGCGTATTAGAACTTGGTTCTGTGCATCTGCAGACTTTTTTGCTTGCAGATTTCTCTGAGGCCTTGCGCAAAACAGCTTTTTTCCACAGATAACTTATATTGGTGTTGGCGTCATATAAACCTGAAGCTTAACATGCATGTATACGTGTGTATATATATACATATGTATACGTATGTATGTATGTCTACATGCATGAAAGGATGTATGTATGTACTGCTGTATATGTATATCTATGTATGCATGCATGCATGCATGCATGTATGCGAATAACCCAAAGCAAAACCGAGATATTCCCAGAAAACACATACGCCCAGACGCAGCATGATTGCATATGGTGCTTTATGTAACATTATATATTTATAGATAGATAGATAGATAGATATAAACATCTATGTATACATATATACATCCTTACACAGGCAGGCTCCGACAAGGAATCGCCTGTGTTTTGTTGCAGGGCTTGTATATATAGCTCGCAGCATGGCCGCCGAAAGGCTGCTGACGGCGCAGCGGAAATGCTTTGTGTCACAACGAGCTCTGGCTGAAATCTTGAGCATTGTCAAAGACGACGACGAAGAAGACCTGGCTACGTCAAGACAAACACTCAAGCGCAAAAGAGCACGGGAGCTGCAGATGGAGACCCCATACGGACCACTCTGGCGCACCATGACTGGCTTCGTGATGGAAAAGGGCAGGCCCTTGACGGTGTCCTACCTAGACCCGGCTGCCCTGCTGTGGGCCGTGTGCCGGGACGGCCAAGGTTTCGCCGAGTTTCTCGTAAGACGAAACGAGCTTCATCCGAGCGGTCCGTCCCAGCCCTGGTCCATATGCTTGTATATGGACGAGGTTTCACCAGGGAACCAGCTGAAGCCCTCCAACGATAGGAAGCTTCAGGTCATCTACATGTCTCTGAAGCAGCTCGGCGGATTAGCACTTTCGAAAGAGGACAGCTGGCTGTTGGTAAGTTGCATCCGATCCGTGGATGTCAAGAGATGCGCCAACGGCATGGCACAAGTCATGAAGCGCTTCCTCGAGGTTTTCCTGGTTGAACGTCGTGACGTTTTGCGGTCCGGACTGTTGTTGCCTACTGCCAATATGACCCTGTGCTGCAAGCTGAGAGTCTTGCCGAATACAAAACTATGTTTATTTCCAATTGAGGTGTATGATGATGCCTTATAATGACGTTCTGTGTGTATGTGTGTGTATGGTGATATATGTGGGTGTTTCTTTATGTATGTGTGTATATGTATGTATATACCAACAAAACCAAAGGTCTTATCATCGCGGATGAGCTGGCCTTGAAACAGCTTTGGGAGGACAAGGGTGCTGGAGGAAACAAATTGTGCTTCAAATGCACAAACGTGGTCGCCGAATCCTCTGATCTACACAACCACGATCGTGCAGGTGTTCTTATGAGCCACGCAAACCCCGACAAGAACAGGATGATCCTCCAAACCGACAGTGGCATGATGAAAGCTGCAAAGCATCTAGCCGAACAGCACCCTGTGCTCAACAAGGGGCAGTTTAAGACCCGGGAGATGGCCCTGGGCTTGAACTACGTTCCGCACGGTTGTCTATATTCGGAGAACCTCAGGGACCAGCTCAAACCGATAACGTTTTCTATGTTTGATTGGATGCATTGCTTCCTGGTTGGAGGGGTGATGCAGCATGAAATGAACCTCTTGCGAGTCCTGTTGAAGCAGGAAGGTATTGAACCAGAGCAGATGTGCCTCGGCTGTCCAGATGGTAACAGTCGTGTCGGGTTGCTCGAGCTTCTATGGAAACAAGAAGTTCTTGTGTAAGCGTGTGATGTATCTATACTGTGTACGAAAATTTATATATTGACATCTGAATTAAACGTGTATATATACGTATACATACGGTAACTATCAGAAGTGCAGTAAGTTTTATAAACTCCATACATGGACGCACATGCAGGCACAGCTTCTTTCAAGGTTGCGAGTGGCCTGCATACATTGGCGGACGGAGTGTGTCTGGCAAGAACCTCTTCCACAAAAAGGATCAAGAGTTTAAGTGCTCGGCATCCGAGGGTCTGGCATTTTACCCGGTAATGCAAGCGTTTCTACAGAGGCAACTGCCTCGCGTTGCGTCTCAAGAATGCCGAGAAGGCATCCAAAGTTTTTTCCTGCTCTGCGATGTTTTAGATGCCCTACAGCTCTGTGCC